ACACACACACACACCTCTCTTAACTTGACCTCCTTCTGCCGTCAGGTACGCTCCCATTGGTATCCTGTTCCTCATTGCGGGAAAAATAGTGGAGATGGACGATCTTACGCAAATGGGTGGCCAGTTGGGCATGTACACCATCACAGTCATCATTGGTCTGATGATCCATGCCATTCTTATTCTTCCCACCCTGTATTTTGTCATCACTCGGCAGAACCCTTTCATTTTCATTGCCGGGCTCTTGCAAGCTCTGGTCACGGCATTGGGTACCTCTTCCAGGTGAGTCCCGAATCCAACCGCCCATCGCGGAAATCGTAGTAATCGTCTCCCATGTCGCTAAGGTCTCCCTTGGCGCCGCTAAGTCTCATTTCCGCGCCGTTGTCTCGCAGCTCGGCCACCCTCCCCGTCACGTTCAAATGCCTGGAGGAAAACAACAAAATCGACAAGCGGATCACTCGCTTTGTGTTGCCGGTGGGTGCCACCATCAACATGGACGGCACCGCTCTCTATGAAGCGCTGGCGGCCATTTTTATTGCCCAAGTCAACAATGTGGAGATGAACTTTGGACAGATCATTACCATCAGGTATGAATGTCCAAAAGGGGGGCTACGGCAAAGAAGATCAAATCTATACGGATGAATTCTCTGCCCTATGATCAAGCATTACAGCAACGGCAGCGAGTATTGGAGCCGCTGGGATCCCGCAAGCAGGCCTGGTCACCATGGTGATTGTGTTGACCTCCGTTGGACTTCCGACTGATGACATCACTCTGATCATTGCGGTGGATTGGTTTCTGTGAGTATCCCGCGCGTTCAAAAATGTGACACCGAGAAGAGCCGAGCCCGCAGTCAGACGCGGACGGACGTGAATCACCGTTGTCGCTCGAAAGGCCCAAAGTATCCCCATCTCGACCACCACCACCTAGTGACACACTTTTTCATTCTCCCTCAAGTCCTGCTCCACATCTTTCCCTTTGTGTTGAATATTTTCTGGAGTGAGTTTTAACATAGAAACATAATTAGGTTTCCCAAATTAATAATTCCAATTAGAAGACCCTGCTCGGCTAACTGGGGCAATGTGGAAAAATCCCTGTCTCCTCTACTAGGCTGGTCCAAATATGAACATCTCTCCTTTTTATAGACCACAGCAGAACAGACAAGTACCGAGCAGTATCTATGAACATTGTTATGATTTGGATTGGATTGGATTTCCGTTTGATGTGAGCTAGGGGAAGCGTGTAAAGGATAAAGAAGAGGGGGCTGAGCACCGGGCCTTGGAGGACACCGTGGAGGACCGTGGCTGTGTCGGACTGAGATGAACTGGTGACGGTCGGTGAGGGCTGAGAGAGCAGTGCCGGTGATGTTAAGAGAGGACTCAAGACGGGTGAGGAGGATGGAGTCATTTACGGGGTCAAGAGCGCCACTGAGGTCAAGTCGGATGAGATCGGCGTCAGAGGAGAGGAGGCGGTCGTCGGTGACTCTAAGAAGGGCTGTTGCCGTGCCGCGATAGGATCTGAAGCCGAATTGAAATGGCTCATAGAGGTTATGGGAATCAAGAAGGCGACAATTCGTTCGAGTACTTTTGAAACAACAGAGGACGGTCAAAGTTTGCAAGTCAGACTTAAAACTGAGTAACCGGTAACAATGATTCATCCACATTGCCCCCACTAAAATCAAATATTCACCCTGTTTGATGTGGATTGTGAAAAACGTACCATCCAGTGACGTTGCGCGTCCTCTTTCTTTTGTGTGCTAGCGACCGCCTGCGTACCACCACCAATGTTTTGGGGGATTCCATTGGAGCAGGCATCATAGAGTTCCTCTCTCGGCACGAGCTTCGCAGCAAGGATGTGGAGATGGGAAATTCTGTCCTGGAAGAGCGAGAGAGGAAGAAACCTTACAAACTCATTTCACAGGATAGTGACTTGGAAAATGACAAACGCGGTCACAACGAATCAAGCATGTAGTTCTTCATCAATAGCTGCGCCAGCTTTTGAACATGTACAACCGATGCCGCTTTGTTTTTGCGAAGTCTCGCTTTGAATTCACACCACGATTGGTTTTTACGTTGTTCCACAAAAGGCACATTGAATACATTCCTCTTCCAGCCAAAATAACCCAGACTGGTTGCTTTAATTACATAGTCTAGGACTGCTGTTTTTTTTTTTAAATACTTATTACATGAATGAATGCTAATTGATGTAATGTCATATGATCTTCATGCAAGGATTGTGTGCGTGTGTTTGTGTGTGTGTGTTTGTGTGGGCGTGCGTGCATGCACGCGTAGCTTTGTGGCCAATTAGGTACTGTAATTGGAGTGAAGTGCCGCAATGTATTTTTAAAATAAAGCCAAAAACACTTAAAAAAGCAGGCTGAGGGTTAGAACTGTATCAGACTATACTGATTTTTTTTCACCAATCGTTCTTATCGCTTTAAATATTGTTGTGCGTAACTTCCTTCAAGGCTTTCGATTAGTCTACTATGGCCTCTTATTGCTATTTAATATTACTATGTTAAAAATGCATGTGTGGACGTTGACATTTTTAATCAACCCAGACAAATAAACACGATACGGGAGGCAATCCCTTTCAAGACTGTTGGATGGAAACTATTAATATTTTATCGCAAAATAAAGTTACGTTTGCATTGTCTACGTTTTGTGCTATGGTTCTTGTGTTTCTATGGCCTGGCTGCTGGTTCTCTGGATTTCTCCAATTGTGTATGCGATTTCGCCACGCTTTTATAGGTCAGATTTCAAAGTAAAGTCCTTTTTGAAATGGACGTTTTTTTCCCCAACAAATCTCAGTCGGGGAAAATGAATGGGTGTCAAAAGTAGCGTGAAACCGAGAGATGGCGATAAAACAACAGGCGGTGGCGCGCCACGCCTATTCAACAAAAGAAGAAGAGCCCCAAGTATGCCTTTGAAAACTGACAAGCCTGGAGAACTCGTTCGGTCGCGGCCCATTTGACTCCCCGCGTTGCAGTGTGCCGCCGAGGCAATGGCGACTCTCGGCCGAGCTCTGTGCATCATCACCGGGGCATCCAAAGGTTTCGGCCGGGCCGTTGCGAAGGAGATGGCCCGGCTGGTGGAGCCCGGTTCGGCGTTCGTCCTGGTTGCCCGATCCGGGGACGAACTTCGGACTCTTCAGACGGAGCTGGCCGAGTCCGGCCTGGAGGCTCGGTGTGTGGTCTTGGATCTGTCCCTCAACGATTCACCGGAGAGGATCGTCCGAACCGCGAAGGAGGTTTTTTCACCGGACATAAAACATGTTATTCTCGTTAATAACGCTGGTAAGCTCATCTTGTCCCGTTTGGCAGATGTTTGTTTGGAACCGACATCGGGAATTTACAACTGGTCTTTATGTCCACAAAAAATACTCAACAGGACTCAGATTGTGGATACTTGCAAAACACAATTATGAAGTTATGAAGCCTCGTTTAGATGAAGTTTAGATTTCAGGAGCAGTATTTAAGAAGGTTCCACAGTCGTCAACCGCAACGCACATAACAAATATTTTTTGATTTTTGGTTGATCTCGCGTGCGCGATACGGCTTTTACAATGTGTTATCAATTATAGCAATGACGTTGCAGAAAATAAACCGAGCAGTTGCTGAACTGAACACAGAATTCATAAATAGTACAAAATGTATAATAAGATATAAAATAAGAAAAAAAAATTAAGAGTTGGCTCGAATCTCTGATTTAAAAATGTCACGACAATTTATGTTATAGCCCGCATATTAAAATCAACGTAGTCTTAACTTCACATTTTAGTCGCTAATGGCGGACAGAGAAGCATTGATTTAACAATATTTGTACCCATGTCGCTAAATCAACGACTGGATCATCAAGATTTATTGCCTGCAATTCGTAATGGCAGTTATTGTGGTTTTCCGTTGTTTTTATATTTATGAATTATTATATTTATATTAGATGTATGTATAGGCCACGTGTATGACTTATTCGAATTAAAAATCAATGTATTCTTCAATACTCAACACTGTACATTTTAACCGTTGTCTTATGAACGACAAAGTGTAAAATAAGAAGGGATTCACCTTGTGCTTTAAATATAATGAAGAGTGTTATCGGGGTTTGTTACAACACGATCCTAAATGCACAAAGATAATAAATAGAAAAGTGAAAAGAATGCACGTTGCGCATCAAGTGAAACGTTCAATGAGCATGAGAGAGCCAACAGCTCCTCTTAGTGGCAAAGCAAAAGTACAGGTAAACTTTACGAGCGGAGACAAAGTTTGTTGCCAAGTTAACTACCCCGGGCGCCCCTGCCTCATTGTGTCTTCTCAGCCTCACTAGGTGACGTGTCCCGTTTCTGCAAAAGCTTCACCAGCATGGCCGAGGTGGACTCCTACCTTTCTTTCAACGTCAGCTCAGCTTTGTGCCTTACTGCCGGCGTGCTGCAGGCCTTCCCCAAGCAGTCGGGTCTGCGCCGCTGCGTGATCAACGTCTCCTCCCTGTGCGCCCTGAAGCCGTTTGCCTCCTGGGTGCTGTACTGCTCCGGCAAGGCCGCCCGGGACATGATGTTCAAGGTTCTGGCAGAAGAGGAGCCGGACCTGCGTGTGCTCAACTATGCTCCAGGTGGGGGATCTGTTACATTTATGTGCATCTGTTTATCCTATTGTGTCAATTATAGCTCAATGAATACAAATGTAAACTTTTTGATGTATCAAGAAATGAAGGAAAATATGGCCATGAGGTGGTGCAGATATTCTGCATGTGTTACCCCGCAGCGGTGATGACTTTGGCTTATTTTCTAAAATGTGTTTTACCTCCTTTTTTTTTTTTTTTTTTTTTTTGCTCCACATCCCCAGGTCCTTTGGACACAGACATGCAGATGGTAGCTAGGACCAGAACAGGGGAATCAACCTTAAGGAAAGCCTTTTCCGGCATGTTTGACGAAGGCCAGCTGCTCACATGCGAGGCCTCGTGCGCCAAGATGATGAAGCTGCTGCTGGAAGACAAATACAAATCGGGAGATCACATTGACTTCTACGACGTGTAGATCGGGCAGCAGAGCACACGTTCGCTCATTCGCTGGGTGCGGACCTGATTTTTGACGCGCCTTAAAAGATGTTCTGTGGTTCCACTTACCGCTACAATGGAAGCTGCGTTTATTTGGTGGCAAATTAACGGCACGGTATTTGTCAAGATCTGTTTTTAATCAAATGTGCCGTCCCACTCTGTGATTTGAAACTTTAAAATGGACCAAAGCCTTAATGTCTGTCTTTGCGGTATTCCTCATATGTTGTGTGTCTCACTAAAGATTTTGTTTTGTACACATCAGGAACTATGAAGAAAAATTGTTGAGTGCTGTACTACCATCTATATTACATCACCAAATCAATAAAATTGCACAAATGACCTTATTTTTTTTCGTCGTGATTTCTTGTTCACCACATTCAACCTCCTCCTGTTTTGCAGAGTGACATTCCAACCCTGAGTGACACTTAACACGAGTTTGACTTGAGCCACACGGTTATTTGAAAAAGGTGAAGGTGGGCAGAGTGAGAAAGGAGGTGCCATGACTATTAATAAACTTGTTTATATACTGTACAACTTTTGGAAGATCCAAATAAACCATTTATGATGAGAACAACACAATTTATCTTGAAAACACTGGAGTGAATGAAGATCACTGAATTCTTCTGTGCTCCCGTCTTCAGACGGCCCCTAATTTCACCTCAAAAATGTTTTCTCAACTGCTTTTGTATTTTTGGAGCGACGCGACTCACGCCCTTTGTAACCTCCGTGACATAATTTCAAAATGGCCGTGACCTTCACTTTTTCAATCCATCCTTGACTTCCGACTTGCCTATCGCTGTGCTCACCTTCCAAGAAAATCAAAACAAGTGTCAGCGTCTCTCTTCCTTTTCACGAACCAGCGATGGAAGGTGACAGGTGCTGCCGACAAAAATAACTCAGTGGGAGGCACCCCAACAAGGGAACAACTCCCACCTTGGCCCCTCGGCTCCGCTCACCTCTCTGCCGCTCTTCCCTCTCACACTTGGGACCCCTTAGAGGAGGCGAATGTATTTTTGGGCCATAGCAGGGGTCGGGCCAAGGAGCCGGCCCCCCTTAACGTGTCTGAGAATCCCGTGAGGACCTCGCACTTCCCGAAAGCTTTTCCAGGCCGCGGCCCGCCTTCTGCGACTCTTCTCGTCTGTCTCCATTTTTTGGGGGTTTTGTTCAGCCCACACAATGACGGTGGGGAACATGGATAGTGTCGAGCTGTTTGATGCTGGGGAGAAAGGTCGTGGCCTAAGAGCCGGCAGAGACCTTAGCACCGGGGAGGTGGTCTTTGCAGAGGCCAGCTTTGCCGCTGTGGTCTTTGACAGGTAGGAAGATCCTCTTGTTGTTGTTGCTCCGTTAGAATCTAGCAACAATGGTTTCGCAGTGAGCATGTTTTGGTTTTTTTGACTGCAGGTGCTTTCACTAGCCTTGTCTGGGATGTGACCTTATTTCAACATTTTCCAACTGCCATGACATTAGCAAAAATAAGATGCCTTGGCTGACAAGGTGTCATTTCAACCTGAACGTGACTTTATTTTGGACTTGCGTCTGTTAATTGCTCACTGGAATCAAATCCTTTGTAGTTCACGCGATTGGTCTCCGCAAACATGAACGGTAAAATCAATTTAAAAGGAGTGATGGGAAAATGAAGCTTCATGAAGCACTTGTGATTTGTTCGTACTCCTCTAGAAGGCAGACGTACTTGAAAGATGCATGCTTTTGGTGTCATGCGTCATAAAACGTTTCTGGACTTACTCTCTCTCAGCTCGTTCATGCAGGTGTGCCACAGCTGCTTCCGACAGCAGGCCGAGCTCCATCGCTGCGCCCAGTGCCAGTTTGCCTTCTACTGCAACCGCACCTGCCAGATTGCATGCTGGGATGAACACAAGGAGGAGTGCGCGGCCATCAAGAAGGCTGGCAAGGCACCCGCTGAAAATGTTCGGTAAGAAAAACATCCTGGCGCCGAACGAGCACCAAGTTTTGGGGGTAGAAAAGGGGAAATGGAAAGACACTTCACAATAGTCCAAGGTTTTGCTCTTAGCCATGCTCGGGTGTTTCCAGCAGTCTTCATTTACCGCACATGCTCGCATCCACGCGCGCGCACCCACGCATGACACAGTGAGCAAAAGCCAGAAGGGCCCCGAACATGAATGAAGCAGAAAGAGTTTGTGAAAAGGAAATCACCGCCTACCGTATTCGAGACCTCACGTGGAGGCACGTGGCGCACTTTTGCAGCGTCTTGAATGCAGAAACGATCGTACTCCTGGCGCTCCAGATTGCCATTCTTTGCCAGCGCTGTCGGCGAATTGGACATGAAACAGACGTTGAACGAGAAAAATAATTACAAAAAAGATAGAGGTCGCAGGCTGCAATCGGGAGACTGCTGACCGTTAACTTCTAGTGAAGCAGATCATGGCATCACCGGAGGTTAAAGGTCACCTGTTTTTTTTTTTTAAATACTTTTTTGATGAAAGTGAAACTGAGAGGACGCTTAGGGTGGAGTGCACACTGACACATTTTTTCTTCCTTTTTTTTTTTTTTTTTTTTTTTTTTTGCTCCACGTCACCAGGTCCTTTGGACACAGACATGCAGATGGTAGCTAGGACCAGAACAGGGGAATCAACCTTAAGGAAAGCCTTTTCCGGCATGTTTGACGAAGGCCAGCTGCTCACATGCGAGGCCTCGTGCGCCAAGATGATGAAGCTGCTGCTGGAAGACAAATACAAATCGGGAGATCACATTGACTTCTACGACGTGTAGATCGGGCAGCAGAGCACACGTTCGCTCATTCGCTGGGTGCGGACCTGATTTTTGACGCGCCTTAAAAGATGTTCTGTGGTTCCACTTACCGCTACAATGGAAGCTGCGTTTATTTGGTGGCAAATTAACGGCACGGTATTTGTCAAGATCTGTTTTTAATCAAATGTGCCGTCCCACTCTGTGATTTGAAACTTTAAAATGGACCAAAGCCTTAATGTCTGTCTTTGCGGTATTCCTCATATGTTGTGTGTCTCACTAAAGATTTTGTTTTGTACACATCAGGAACTATGAAGAAAAATTGTTGAGTGCTGTACTACCATCTATATTACATCACCAAATCAATAAAATTGCACAAATGACCTTATTTTTTTTCGTCGTGATTTCTTGTTCACCACATTCAACCTCCTCCTGTTTTGCAGAGTGACATTCCAACCCTGAGTGACACTTAACACGAGTTTGACTTGAGCCACACGGTTATTTGAAAAAGGTGAAGGTGGGCAGAGTGAGAAAGGAGGTGCCATGACTATTAATAAACTTGTTTATATACTGTACAACTTTTGGAAGATCCAAATAAACCATTTATGATGAGAACAACACAATTTATCTTGAAAACACTGGAGTGAATGAAGATCACTGAATTCTTCTGTGCTCCCGTCTTCAGACGGCCCCTAATTTCACCTCAAAAATGTTTTCTCAACTGCTTTTGTATTTTTGGAGCGACGCGACTCACGCCCTTTGTAACCTCCGTGACATAATTTCAAAATGGCCGTGACCTTCACTTTTTCAATCCATCCTTGACTTCCGACTTGCCTATCGCTGTGCTCACCTTCCAAGAAAATCAAAACAAGTGTCAGCGTCTCTCTTCCTTTTCACGAACCAGCGATGGAAGGTGACAGGTGCTGCCGACAAAAATAACTCAGTGGGAGGCACCCCAACAAGGGAACAACTCCCACCTTGGCCCCTCGGCTCCGCTCACCTCTCTGCCGCTCTTCCCTCTCACACTTGGGACCCCTTAGAGAAGGCGAATGTATTTTTGGGCCATAGCAGGGGTCGGGCCAAGGAGCCGGCCCCCCTTAACGTGTCTGAGAATCCCGTGAGGACCTCGCACTTCCCGAAAGCTTTTCCAGGCCGCGGCCCGCCTTCTGCGACTCTTCTCGTCTGTCTCCATTTTTTGGGGGTTTTGTTCAGCCCACACAATGACGGTGGGGAACATGGATAGTGTCGAGCTGTTTGATGCTGGGGAGAAAGGTCGTGGCCTAAGAGCCGGCAGAGACCTTAGCACCGGGGAGGTGGTCTTTGCAGAGGCCAGCTTTGCCGCTGTGGTCTTTGACAGGTAGGAAGATCCTCTTGTTGTTGTTGCTCCGTTAGAATCTAGCAACAATGGTTTCGCAGTGAGCATGTTTTGGTTTTTTTGACTGCAGGTGCTTTCACTAGCCTTGTCTGGGATGTGACCTTATTTCAACATTTTCCAACTGCCATGACATTAGCAAAAATAAGATGCCTTGGCTGACAAGGTGTCATTTCAACCTGAACGTGACTTTATTTTGGACTTGCGTCTGTTAATTGCTCACTGGAATCAAATCCTTTGTAGTTCACGCGATTGGTCTCCGCAAACATGAACGGTAAAATCAATTTAAAAGGAGTGATGGGAAAATGAAGCTTCATGAAGCACTTGTGATTTGTTCGTACTCCTCTAGAAGGCAGACGTACTTGAAAGATGCATGCTTTTGGTGTCATGCGTCATAAAACGTTTCTGGACTTACTCTCTCTCAGCTCGTTCATGCAGGTGTGCCACAGCTGCTTCCGACAGCAGGCCGAGCTCCATCGCTGCGCCCAGTGCCAGTTTGCCTTCTACTGCAACCGCACCTGCCAGATTGCATGCTGGGATGAACACAAGGAGGAGTGCGCGGCCATCAAGAAGGCTGGCAAGGCACCCGCTGAAAATGTTCGGTAAGAAAAACATCCTGGCGCCGAACGAGCACCAAGTTTTGGGGGTAGAAAAGGGGAAATGGAAAGACACTTCACAATAGTCCAAGGTTTTGCTCTTAGCCATGCTCGGGTGTTTCCAGCAGTCTTCATTTACCGCACATGCTCGCATCCACGCGCGCGCACCCACGCATGACACAGTGAGCAAAAGCCAGAAGGGCCCCGAACATGAATGTGAAGCAAAGAGTTTGTGAAAAGGAAATCACCGCCTACCGTATTCGAGACCTCACGTGGAGGCACGTGGCGCACTTTTGCAGCGTCTTGAATGCAGAAACGATCGTACTCCTGGCGCTCCAGATTGCCATTCTTTGCCAGCGCTGTCGGCGAATTGGACATGAAACAGACGTTGAACGAGAAAAATAATTACAAAAAAGATAGAGGTCGCAGGCTGCAATCGGGAGACTGCTGACCGTTAACTTCTAGTGAAGCAGATCATGGCATCACCGGAGGTTAAAGGTCACCTGATTTTTTTTTTTTAAAGAAAGTGAAACTGAGAGGATGCTTAGGGTGGAGTGCACACTGACACAACCAGATCATGGCATCACCGGAGGTTAAAGGTCACCTGTTTTTTTTTTTTAAATACTTTTTTGATGAAAGTGAAACTGAGAGGACGCTTAGGGTGGAGTGCACACTGACACAATAATATATATTAATAACACACAAATCATTTTTTGTTTGTTGTTTACCACTTTGCTTGTGGTAATCAGAGCAGTTTTGTGTATCATGCGCCGCAAGATGATGTCCTCTCTTTAAGATGACACAAGGCTCCTTCTTGTCTCAACATACGCCCAATAGCGAAATGAAACAAGCCCCTTTTTGAGTTTTGAAAAATGTATCGATCTCCCCCCGCCCCGCTTGTATTTCGCCTGCAGTCTTGCGGCTCGTGTGCTGTGGCGCCTTCACAAGGACACCGGCATCGTGTCTGACAGTCAGCTGATCTCAGTGGAACAGCTTGAGGACCACGTGTCCGACTTGCCGGAAAAGGACCTTCAACAACTCCAGAGCGATGTTGAGAGTTTCCTGGGCTACTGGTCCTATGGGAGGAAACGGCACTCCGTCGACTTCATCTCACATATCTTTGGCATTGTAATGTCAAACAACGCCACCTGTGACGTTTCCCTGCGGCCTTTGTCTTGACACGCCCCCTCTTTGTGTGCACAGATTACGTGTAATGGCTTCACAATGAGGGACCAGAACGGGCTGCAAGCTGTTGGCGTGGGCCTTTTCCCCAACCTGTGCCTGCTCAACCACGACTGCTCACCCAATTGCTACGTTGCCCTCAACCACGGCAAGTATGTATCACACACGACCACTGAGGGGAAAGAATTTTGTGGCTGGTTCAGATTGCAGCGCCGTCGTCTTCGTCAAGGCTGCTCGATGCGGGCCCATAGAAACTCATTTGCCGCTTTCTTTTGCAGCCAAACTGCC